TTTGGATCACATCCGGCGATGCTCAGGGTTACTCCTGGCTCTGCACTCAGGAATCACTCCTGGCGGTGCTTGGCGGACCATATGGGATGCTGGGAATTGAACCCGGGTCGGCCGCATGCAAGGCAAATGCCCTACCTGCTGTGCTATCGCTCCAGTCCCCAGATACATTTATTTTTATAGAGTTATCTTGACTGGAACCTTTTTTACATTTTCAAAGCCACGTGTTTTCATTCTTAAAACTGGAATTATAACCCTTCTCTAAGTGTTTCTTTGTGCTGACAAAATGAGATTATAGTTACACTTCTACGTAAATCTTTAGACCAGCATATAGGATATAATATATATATATATTATATCCTATATGCTATCCTACTAGCTATTATATTTCATTTCTGTAATTTGTTGACAGTTGCTTTGTTTAAGAAGTTACATGTGTGTCTGGAGATATAGTACAGTGGATAGAGCGCTTGCCTTTCACGTGGCTGACGCAGGTTTGATCCCCAGCACCCCATATGGTCCCCATAGCCCAGCAGGAGTGATTCCTTAGTGCAGAGTCAGGAGGAAGCGTTAAGCATGGCTGATGTGGCCTGACCCTCCACTCTCCAAAAATAAACAGTTACATGTGAACCAGTATTTGACATTTCCACCAGTGGTCTAGCATATATGGTATGTTTAAAGGCTTTCGGGTAAGGCATTTAAATCTAGATGTAATCTATGTACTAACCTAGAATTGGATATTTTTTAGGATGAATTGCAGTTTCTAATATAATAAAGTATTGAAGTATTTAATTTTGTATTTATGATAGTGTTTTAAGTTTCAAATTAAAAAAAAATTTTTTTTGGGGGGGTCACATCCAGCAGTGTTAAGTACTTACACTTGGCTATGTACCCAGGTTTGGGGGACCATATGTGGTGTTGGGATGGAACCTGGGTCAATTGTGTGCAAGGCAGGTGTCCTACTAACTGTACTTCAACCTGATGGTAGTGTTTTAAAGATACTCAAGTGTTATATATTCTTTCATGGTCTACTGCGTATACACTCCATTATACACTCCACAGAAAATTCAGCGCAGTGTGTGTAGTTTCTTAGCAGTTATGGAATTTGTTCTGGAGTGTTACTTCAGAAAAGAGTAATGTAACTCCCCATGAGAAAGAAAAAGGTGCCTTAAAGTAGAGATTTTGCCTTAGACTTTAACTTAAATGTGGGTTGGTTGCATAACAGAATGTAGAGGTCTTAAAAAATTTTTTTTTTTTTTGGTATAGTGCTCAGGGGTTACGCCTTGCTCTGCACTCAGGAATCACTCCTGGCAGCTTGGGAGACAATATAGGCTATTGAACCCAGGTCAGCTGCATGAAAGGCAAGCATCTTTCCCATTGTACTATCTCTCTGGCTCCCAGGTCTTGAAATTTTTGTTTAAAATAAATACAATTTATTATCAGTGAATGTTTGATTTTATGCACATAATGGTTTCTATTCTTAGAGATTTCCATAAAAAGGTCCTTCATGAGTCCTAATACACTCTGAATATTAGCATGTTTCAGTGGGTCACTGGATGTATTTAAGCAAAAGAATAACAGCACCCTTAAATATTTTATCATGAGTAAAAAGACTGTCGATTTTGCTGGGTGTAGCCCTGATAAACCCAAGTACTGTTGAGCTGAACAACACTGGGCCACTAGGCCAATCTTTAGCTATAAGGCCAGCAACCACTGGACTGAACAGCACCAGGATTGACCCCAGGTACTTCTAAATTCTTGAGAGTAAAAAAGACTGCCAGCCTTTGGTTTAATGTATTTATTTAGGTTGACTATTATAGAGTTACTTTTATGTTTCCCCTAATAACTTACACATGAGGATTGTATGAGGAAGCATGAAAAGTCCTCCTTTTCCAAAGTTAGAAATTTGTTAGACTTTATCTTTACATAAATATCATGGTGCCATGTAAACAGGGCTTCTCTAGTAACTGCCTTGGGATTTGGCCTCTTAATTAATTCATTAATTTATATTTTTGGTTTTGGGGCTACATCCAGGAGAGCTGTGGAAGGATGTGGAAGGAAGGGGCTCCCTTTCTGTGATCTCTGGTACTACATATGGTCCTCTAAGCCATTGCCAGGGCACTGTATTTGGTATCGGGCCACTTCTGGCTCTGTGCTCAGGAGTGATTCCTGGCAGTGCTCAGGAAACCAGGTGCAGTGCAGTGTTGGGAATCAAACCAGGGTTGTGGCCACCACAGCTGCACACAAGACAAATGCTTTACCTCCTGCAATAACTCCTTGAACCTGAACTTAGCTACTTTTCTCAGTGGGGATAGTAAGAAGTTTTGTATTTTTGAGATTGCATCTTTTGTGGGATGGATATAGCTTTGGGATTTAGTTAGCAGAATTTAGTTAACCAAGAATGCTGTATATCCTATAAGGTATGAGACAACTCTACATGAGTTTTGGAACATTTCCTAGATCTCATGGATAAAAAACTGGTTTATACTTATATGTTACTAACCCTGTTTTGCATTTAAACCCAAAGTATTTTTTAACATAGTTTTAATAGTCATAGAATTTTCCAGGAATGCAGCTATTAAGTAAGCCAAGAGTAAGTTGTAGTATTGTTCAGCATTGTTGATTTGTAATGTTATAGTTTTGGTCAGAATTTAATCATTTTGTTCAGAATTTTTAGGAAATCTTAACTGAAAAAATAAAATAAAATAATAATATTATCATTTATTGTTTGTATTTTTATTGTTGATTTCTATTGACCTGTTTGTTCAGGATGGATAAACTTTTTCAGAATTTACCATTCTTTTCCTTTTAAGTTTACCAGATTTGTATATATTTTAAAGCTGTTTATCTTGCATTTATTTATTGTCTTCAAACACTGATATGAAGGTTCGGAGACCCCTCTTAGCAATTTTCTACCAACTAGGCCAGCAGTTTATTTTATTTCATTTTATTTTTTTGTTTTGGGGCCATACTTTGTGGTGCTCAGGGATTACCCCTGTCACTGCACTTAGCAATTACTCCTGGAAGTGCTAGTGGGGTTGGGGAACGAGGGATGGGTATGGGGAGGAACCATATGGGATCCTGGAGATTGAACCCCAGTTGGCCTCATGCAAGGCAAGCAAGTGCCTTACCAACGCTGTATTATCCCTCTGACCCTCTCAATGCCGAACACAAGAATTTCTAAAAAGAATTTTTTATTATTTACCTAGGACTACAGCTTTTTAAAAAATTACTTTAAAGAAGTTTCTTTGAGTTTTGGGCCACATCCAGCAGTGCTCAGGCCTTACTCCTGGCTCTCTGCTTAGGGATTCTTGGCAGGCTCGGGGACCATATGGGATGCTGGGGGTTGAATCCAGGTCAGCTGCATGCAAGGCAAGTTCCCTACCCTGCTGTATTATTTCTTCAGCCTTAAGGATTATATCTTTTTTTTTTTTGACATTTTAGGATATTTAAAAACAGTTGCTACTATTTATTACATTGTCTTATAAAGGAAGCCATTGTAATTTTAAAAAAGTAGCAACAATCTCTTTGTAAACATTGTTGATAGTTGTATGCCTGTTTTGTTTCAGGGATTAGATTTTAAGAAACATTATCTAATGCACATTCGAAGTTTTATTTTTAAAATCTATTTTAAAAGAATATTTAGGAGGGAATTGGGCCACACCAGACAGTGCTCACGGAATGTTTCTGGTTCTAAGCTCAGGAGTGTTTCCTGACAGTGCTCAGGGAACCATTGAATCCAGGTTTTGGTGCCAGGGATTTGAACCAGTAGTCAACATGGTTGCAAACAATGCAAGTGCTTATCTATTATACCATCTCTCCAGCTCGAACACTTGACCTTTTATTTATTTTTATTTTTTAAAATTTTTATTAGCGAAACACCATGAGGTACAGTTGTAGATTTACAAAATTTTGTGCTTGGGTTTCAGTTATACAATGATCCAGTACCCATCCCTCCACCAGTGCCTATTCTCCATCATTTACATTTTTAAAAAAAATTTTGTTAGTGAAACACCATGAGGTACGCTTGTAGATTTACAAATTTTTGTGCTTGGGTTTCAATTGTACAATGGTTAAACACCCATCCCTCTACAGTGCCCATTTTCCACCACCACGGGTCCCAGTATCCCTCCCACCCACCATCCCCCCATCACACTTGACCTTTTAAAAAAAGATGTATCTTTGGTGATGAGTGATGTAGCCATCTATCCCAAACACAGAGCTGGAAACATTAGATCTAAGCTGCTACCACTGAAACTTTTTAATGTGTCTGTCAAGTTGACAGGCAGGGATGGGATGGGGGTTGGGTGGAGAAGGAATATGGGAACTCTGGTGGAGGGAAGTTGACAGTGGTAGTGGGGTTGGTATTGAAATATTATATGCCTAGAACTCAACTACCAATAACTTTTTAAATCACAGTTCTTCAATAATTTTTTTTAAAGTATGAGTTGAGAAGTCTCAAAGTTCTTATCTTTGATAAGGCAGAATAATAACTGTATTTGGAACCCAGATTTTATACCCATCTCAAGTTTTTGATGCTGTTTGTTTCAGTGTTTGGTATTGACACTTATGTTGTAGCACCAGTTTCATATATTGTGAAACTGGGGATCCTGTTTGTTTGGGGGGAATAATAGGCTAATGTCATATGTTAAAGATGAGGCTCATGGATATAAAGCTGGCACTCTGGTTTTAAGCAACATTGTTGTGTGCTTCAACCTCAAATTTTAATGCTGTGCCCTAATCTCTATCATATGATAAGGATTAGATTACAGGGAATTTGTGACTTAACAAGTCTCAAGTCTCACACTAAGATCTTATAACTAGTTAAGAAATAAGTGGAACTTTTATCCATATTTCCTACTGAAGCATTATTCAGTGAAACCTATGCATTCACTTCTACGTAATCAAAACCCACTTTGTCAATTCCCATTCAGTTAGAGGTACTGAATTATGTTATTAAAAGAATGACTATATTTAGCATTTTCTGTCTTTAAAAATTTCAGATTTGGGGGTTAAGCCCCTTCTTCCAGGGAAGAGGACCAGTACAGCTTCTGTGGTAACCCAGGATCTTGATCCACATCCATAATTTTGGATATTGGTGGGCCAGCCATCTTCAGACACTTTCCTTAAGACAGGTAAGTAGGGGCTGGAGATAGAGCTCAGTGGACTGAGTGAATATTTGGAAGCCTGGGTTTGATCCTGGCATTAATGATCCCCTGAGCACTGAGGGGTAAGCCCTGAGCTTGAAGTAGCCCATCATCACCAGTTGTGGCCCAGAAACCAAAAAACAAAACAAACAGGTAAGTGAAAGTAAGGATAAAAAAGTAGAATTAATGCTAATGTCTTTTCTAGTTCCTGTTAGATGTAAACGATTGCTTTTAACCTTTTTTCATCGCAAAAGCATATTATATATTGTGCTCGAAGCAAAGTACTTTCTTGATTGTATATTGTATGTCAAAATGTTAGTAGCAGTGAAACTTAATTATTCTTTCTGTTTCCTTTCTGTGCAGTTTTCAAATTTTATTTTTTGGTTATATATTGTTGCATGAAAAAAAATCTTTAAAATTAATGATTTAAAACATTTCCTCCTTTGCTCATATAGTTGCATTTTGAACAAGGCTTGTTTGGTGGGGACAGCTTGTGATTTTTAGCATGTAAAAATCGCGTAGCATGAAGTGGAGTGGCTGGAAGTGTAGGCGTGGCTCAGTGCCTGGAAGCTGAGGTTACTTCTGGCTCTGCACTCAGTAAGTACTCCTGGTAGTGCTTAGGAGATCTGCTGGGTCTCTCCAGCCCCCAATGGGAACATGTTTCATAGTAACTGCTTAATACCCAAGCCAGAAGTCAGTATCGATTCTGACTTATTATGAAGCATTTCAGATGTACAAGAGGGGGCTAGAGAGATAGCACAGTGGATAGGGTGCTTGCCTGCCATGCAGCTAACCTGGGTTCAATCCCCAGCACCACATGAGGTTCCATGAGCACTTCCAGAAGTGATCCCTGAGTCAAACCAGGAGTAAACTCTGAATATAGGCAGATATAGCCCAAATCCACCGTCATTCTACCCCCCCCAACTGAATCAAATGTATAAGCATGTTGAGAGAGTAGAATGTTGAATATTTGTATACCACCACTGATAATTCAGTAATTTAAAATATTATACTATACTTGGTATACACATACTATATAATATATGTGTGCATACGCACACACATTCTCTTTTACTCTAAACCATTTGAAAATTGGACACATGGGACTTTGTCCCCAAATAAGTGTACATCTTCTAAAAAAAAAAAGATGCTGGGAGTCTAGAGAAATAGTACATCAGATAAGGTACTTGCCTTGCATGTGGCCTACTTGTAGCACTGTGCTCCTCTTGTTCATCGATTTGCTCAAGCGGGCCCAGTAACTTCTCCATTGTGAGACTTGTTGTTACTGTGTTTGGCATATCGAATACATCACGGGTAGCTTGCCAGGCTTTGCTGTGTGGGCGAGATACTCTCAGTAGCTTGCCGGGCTCTCCGAGAGGGGCGGAGGAATCGATCTCGGGTCGGCTGCGTGCAAGGCAAACGCCCTACCCGGCCTACTTACCTGGGTTTAATTTGCTGTATCCCATATGGTTCCACTAACCCAGCCAGGATTCTGGGTACTGAGCCAGACTATCACTGGGTGTGGCTCAAAATAAACAAAAAGGATAATAGCCTGTGAGATATCTCAAAATGGTGGAGCACATGCATTATATATGAACCCAGAGTTTGCTCCTCAGTACTGTCTTCGCCAAGCACTGCACTGGGAGTAGCCCCCAACATGCCTGGGTGTGGTGCCCCAGAAAAAAAGAAAAAGAGATAACATAATATTGTTGTAAATATTTGATAAAAACAGGTTATTTTCTATATATTCCAAACCCATTGTCATAATAATAATCTATAGTTTGGGGTGACAGTAGTTTTATTGGTATTTATGTTTTAAAGTATTTATCAAAAGTTTTTGAATGCTTAGGTTATTGTTCTAGGAGGCGTGGCCCTGTAGATGATATGCTTGTGAATATTTTTAGTTTGGGCTTTTACCTTAGGGGACAACTCTTACTTGTTCTCTTTCATACTTCCCTTAAATCAGTCACCTAGCAGCTCTTTGAGCAGATGACCTTTGAATAGTACTTATCAAGAGATAAGTATAATTTCATCCAATTTGGGACTAGCATGTAATTTTGTTTTTAGTTATAGGTCAGGAATTTACAGTTAAAGTTGTGGTAGTTTCTCTTATGTATAAGGATCCTATCCAGCTGTAGGTTATTGAAACCTGACTCTTGGACTTCAATAAAGAAAGCTTTGGTTTTCTTCCAAAACTCTGGAAGTAGGCAGTTGTTACTGTTGCTTAGTAGATCAGCAGTGTTGTACACAGTATCTTTGTGACTTCCTTAGGGCCAGATGTACAGGAGATACTTGTCTTGCATGTGGCTGATCCAGGTTCAATCCCTGACATCCCATATGGTTGGTCCCCCAAGCCCTCCCAGGTGTTAGTCCTGAGCACAGAGCCAGAACTAAGTCCTGAGCACTGCTGTGTGTACCTCCCACCCCCAAATAGATAGCTATTGCTGCTCTGGCCTTGTACATTTCTTAAAAGGGAAGACAATAGATCCCAGCCAAACTAAAGCTTTCTTATCAGTACTTTAATAAATTACTTCTTTGTGTTTTTTGTTTTTATTTTTGTACTACTCTGGCTGTGCTCAGAGCTTACTCTTAGCTTTGCACTCAGGGATCACTGCTAGTGGGCTCTGGGGACCATATGAGGTGCCAGGGATGGAACCCATGATTTGCCTGTTGCACCTCTCTCAGGCTCCCATTTAGTAAGTCACTTCTGATGTCACATTTACCGAAATTTGGTTATGTGGTTACGTTTACATATATGTCTCCTTAGCATCTATTGTGAGAAGCAGAGAGGAAGGATTCGTGATCTTTTTTTGAATAACTCATTAACAGCTTCCACCATAAATACATGATTACATTCATTTTACTTCAAAATTGTGTTTATTTTACTTTATTTTGATACCATCTTTTGAGGAAAGATATCTTAGTTGTGAAGGTAAGCCTTTATTAAGATGAAATTTGGTTTGAATTTTGGGATTTTGGACAAATGAATGAGTTTATAGCATCTATTTTCACATCTGTGAAGTTAGGTTAATAATATCTGACTTTTAGAGTATTTATGAAGTGTGAAAAATACTTAATGTATGTAATGCTGTATCTGCTATATTGGAGGTGCACAGTGAAGATACCGTTGTGCAGCGGGAATAAAGTAATTTTGTTCAAGATTGTTTTAATATAATATAGGTTACAAAAATAGTCCTGGATGACATGAAAACTGCAGATAGTATTGCTATAAACTTCCTTGTATGTATGTACTTCCTTTTGCCTTGTGCTAAGGGTTCTCTGTGGAGTGGAGTAGCTAATGATCCACACACATATATTAACTAGATTTTACATGTTGCTTTCCCCAAAGTGGCTTTACTCAGTTTATATTCACACCTGCTGTGTTTTAAGGCTCCCGTTTTCTTAAATTCTCACCAACATTTGGACTTATCTATATGCTTAATCTTGTTCGATGGATTTAAAGTAGTATTTTAATTTACATTTCTGTGATTGAGAATGAGGTTAGGCATCTCTTTAGTTACTTGACACCATTTCAATTTTACCTGCATGTTGACTAAAAAAATTATATAAAGAAAATTTTGTAGATATTTTTAGAAACTGTAGCACTGTAGCACTGTCCTCTCGTTGTTCATCGATTCGCTCGAGTGGGCCCAGTAACGTCTCCATCATGAGACTTGTTACTGTGTTTGGCATATTGAATGTAGTAGATAAAATAAGTCATCAGTAGTATTCTAATTCAGAGGCAATTGCTGTTAACTTTCACTATGTATTTTTGGTTTTTAAAATTAATAGACATGTCATGGTTTTATAACACTGTTACATTTTTCATTTCCCTCTGTTGAAATTTTTCTGTCACCATGTCATGCATTGTTTAACATTATGACTTTGTTATTTAATCTTTTATAGGACACTTATGCTATTTTTGTTTTTTGTTTTTTTTTTCTCATTGGGTGAATTGTTAATCAAACCTGTATTTTGAGGCAACTAAGGGGATTATGCTTTTGTTCCCTTTGGATTTATAATAAGTTGCAGACTGTCTTATTCTATTTTTTACTTGGGTCTAGGGCATCTATTGACTTTTGAAGTTTTTTTTTTTCTTTTTTAAATTTTTATTAGTGAAACATCATGAGGTACAGTTGTCGACTTACAAATTTTTGTGCTTGGATTTCGGTCATACCATGATCAAATACCCATCCCTCCACCAGTGCCCATTTTCCACCACCAAGGATAATATCCCTCCCCCCCATTCCCCCCATCCCCCCCTGCCACTGTGGCAGGGCATTTCCTTTTGTTTTCTCTCTCCTTTTGGGTGTTGTGATCAGCAAAAGAGGCATTGAGACTTTTGAAGTTTTAGTACTAGAGTTCAAAGATTCCCCAGTCTTATATCCTTCTCTCCCAGACCTTTTTTTTTTTTTTTTTTATCATTGGATCATACTCAACTGTGTTCAGGCTTATTCTTTGCTCTGCATGCAGTAATCACTCCTGACCAGTTCAGGGAACCATATAGAGTGCTTGGGTTGGGCATGTGCAAGGCAAGCGTTCTACCTGCTGTACTATCCCTCTGATCCTGAAATCCTTCTCCCTTTTGTTTTTTTCCACTTCGATAGGGCTGGTGTAGCATAAAAGATAATGCAAGAGTGGACTTAGACCTACATTTAAATGTTATTGCTGCAGAATTTCAGTTCTTAAAGAACTTTAAGTTGATGACTTCGTTTTATTTTTCAAAAGGTTAACAGTTGTTTTGTTTTGGTTTGTTTTGGGGCCACACTTGGTTGTGTTCTTGGGTTGCTCCTGTTAGGGATAATTCTTGACAAGGTCGGAGAACATATGGGGTCCCAGGGATTGAACCCAGGTTGGCCCAAGGCAGACACCCTACCTGCTGTACTATCACTCCGACCCTGAAATGCTAATACTATATTGTTTTAAAGGATTTTCACTGTAGAGAGGAACTAAGAGATGGACTAGAAGAAACAGAAGAACATTGGTGG